TAGTTTGTGAGACTGTATCATTACATAGATCATATATTTTTGTAGGGGAGTAGTAGACGGGTTTAGAATGACTTACAATGTGCACTGACATGGAAGGTGACTTAATCAGGCTCTTCGTCCATATTAGTCTTCATATCAGTTTAAGAAATATTTAATGAACTTGTATATTTTCTGTACTGATTATGGATAAAGTTGTACAGGGTATTAATTTGCTGGTCATACTGATCTGTAATATTCATTATCACAAAGATGACGCAGAAGCTTTCCTTTAGAATCATTAGTGCTTTTGGAAAGCTGTATTTTCAGGAATGTGGATATTTTTTACAGTGTGGGACAGTATTTAGCCAACCTTTTTGTGGGACTTTTTACAATCTAAAATCACGGGTTTTTTTCCCCTAGTATTATCCCAGCTGTAATTGTTTCTTAAGGCTCTTTGTGACTCCAGAATTCATTATACTGAAAAAAGTGTCACATCATTGGTGCTTGGGAGAGTTAAAGAAGGAATTCTGTGATCTGACTTTGATTCTGAGATAAGGTTCAATATGCAGTTGTTCAACAAAATCATGGCAAGCAACGTTGTGATAAATTGATTCGTGAGAACAAGAAGCAACAAGCAGGAGTTTTTGATGTGTAATTCTGTCTGTTACATATGGTGAACTCAGATGGAATGCACAGTGTTATTTTTGGTGTTCTGAATCAAATGTGTTTTAGCTGTGCTTCTGAACATTTGAAGTACAGATCTACTCTGAAAACTTAGCATAAAGTCACTGAAATCACTTCTTTGGGTTTAATTCCTAAAAAATCACTTCAGCGATTTTATATAAAAGTATTGGGAGAGACACTGGATTTCGTAACTATTGGTTATTCAGCTTAGCAAAAAAAAAAAGTCTTTTTTGCATTCAGACAGGGTTTAGAAAATCAAAATGGATTTTCTTCATCTCAGTCAGTCTCCCATCATCAATGTTCAGCTGCTCCTCAACATCTCTGTTGTCTTGAGTGTAAAAACCTGGTGATGCCATCCCACAGCATTCAAATTCTTCTAGCAGCAACACCTTCTATTTAATTATTGTTTTATACACAGAAATTATTCTTTTCAGTTGTGCTGGTAGTAGTGGCGGCCCATAATGCTGTCTCTGCAATACACAGTGCTAGCTGCTTCAGAGAAAATCAGTCTGTAGAAGCGTAAACCAGAATGTTAGGAAAACTCAATATTGCAGGAACAATTTTAAAAAGTAAGAAAACAGCCTCAACAGATAAATGATGGGCATTTTAACAGTACTCTTAATAAAATGGAAGAGAAACGAGTGCCAAACTTCTTGTGCTGCTTGACAATGCAAGGTTAGTGAGAGTAAGTAACAATTTTGAATTGGTGTAATTTTGAATATGTTGTGAGAAGAGACCTTTTTATTAAGAAAGTACTGTTTTTACTTCTGATTGCTTTCAAGATACTGGAAAGGATAATTTTCTGGGATTAATGCTCAAAAAGAAAAGTGTACTTTTGGCTACTTTGTTCCCTAGTTCCAGAAGATTTTCAGTGTTTGCAGGCATAAAATGTACATAAAAATCAGTAGTATAATCCCAAATTTGAAACGGACTTCTTGTGATCAAATATTCAGGAAATCATAATCTAGAGCTGGGAGAATAACTAGTCACCTTATTGCTTCCCAGGTGGTACTTAAATCAGATGTTCAGGAAAGCCCAGCAATCAGTGTTTGGCTTTGCTGAAGAATAAGACCCTAATAATCACTTTAACATGCGTAGAGTTAGGTCTAATCTCAGAGTGCCTGTTTTCATTATGGTAGAAGACATTGGGACCAAAAGGGATAGGGTGGGAAATTCAATGATACTAGCATAAAGCGTGTGCCAGGAAACAGCAGATTTTCATCTACATGTGTGTTAGTACATTTCTGTCAGCAGTGGTAATTTGAGTCAGGATGTGCTCAGTAGAGAGCAAAACATGTAAAACACAGGGGGCAGACATGCATATAATTTGAAGTTACTTTTTTTCTTCTGACAATGGTGAGAAGATGCCACTTGCCAGACGCATGCCTTTTGTGTAGATGAATCTGCCTCTCACTGAGCTATCAAACTACCCTTTTAATTATTTATACTCGTCTCACATTACCACTTACTTGTATGTATTTGTCTCATACAAATACTACGCACTATAAACAATTATTTATTTAGAATTTAAGCTGCAGCTAATTCTGTGGTGTGTTGTTTTTTTGTTGGGTTTTTTTTTTTTTTCCCTTTTTCCCTGAGCAGCGAGAGACAGTTCGTTGTTAGACTTGAATTTGTGTGCTGACACAGACAGGGGCTACCTGAGAAAGGCTGAAGTCATCCGTCTCCCCCCTCCTGCCAAGCTCCTGAGTGAGGGTATCAAAGACAAAATTTCAGATTTAAACAGTTCAGTTCAAAATTTGGCTCCATTCTTACAGAAGAAACTGAAAATCTGAACAGTCTGAAGCTCCTCACACTGCGCTCACTCTGAACTGATTCTAAATCCTTTTAATTGTGCTAACAAGAAGAGAAACTCTTGAACCTTAATTTCACTGCAGTGAAATAGCACAAGGCAGCTGTGCACGGAGTGTCTTCTATTTAATAGGCATCAGAGTGAGGCTGGTCAGCTACCTATAGATGGACACAACTGTAGATAAATTCTGCAAGCCTTTTTTAGTTCTTTGTGATAGAGTGTTAAAAAAAAAAAAACAACAACAACTCATTTAAAAATAGCACTTATAGGGAAAACCTCAAGGAGTTGCCACAAATTATTTGTGTCCTATGTTAGAGAAATAGATGCCTGTTGGAGTATTCTTGGTCTAGTAACTTTGCAAAAATATATGAAAACTAAACCAGAATTACACAAAAGGAAAAGAAATACTCAACAGTGAAAAAGCACATATTGTTAATGTCTAAATAAAAAAAAGCCCAAATGAACCAATTTTGCAAATTTTACAAGTGAAAGGGAACGTTATTCCATTAAGTCATTTATCAATTCAGACAGTATTACAGATGTGGGGAGAACAGCCTTTTCAACACCAGTGCAATACCTTGCAGTCTTTAATATCTAAGACCTACATATACCTGAGTTTTTACACAGACACTTACAGTATCATTGTCTTTATTCAATTAATATAATTATAGAACTTGAAAAAAACCAATCAAAATGTTTATGTTAATGTTATCAGTGATACGCTGCTTACAGAGCTCACATCAAACTCCACTTCTTTGTTCAGCAAATGTTTGTATTAAGGTACATGTAGTTCCTCAAGCCAGACCAAATCAAGACTAGGCACTACATTGAATCTTTTCCTTCTCTATTGGTCTACATCTGCAGTGCTCTTTCAAGGTCTGGGAAAAAGTGCTGAAGTTCCTGGTAGAATTATACACATTATCAATTGCATAACTGCAGACAAGCATGATTGTTATGGTAGTACAAAGTCTAAACTCTCTTAGATGATTTCTAGCAGTTGTATAGCATTTTAATAGCAGAAATATTTTCTTAATAGAAATACTTTCTTAGTAGACATCCCTATCTTTGTGCTTGTGTGTACAACAGCCTTGCTTTTAGTTAGTTTTGTCTAGGAAAGTAATGATCTGTGCATGGAAATATGACCTGATCTACATAAGTTTCTACTGTACATACTCACGTGCGTCGGAAGGCAGCACGAATATCCAAGTCTCCAGTTACTGGTGCTTCTGATGTGACAAAAAATGACAAACAAGAATGAGAGATCAAGTCAAAATAATGCAAAAATACAGTGCTATTTCTAAAGCTTTTCCTTTGCAGACTTTTTTTTCCCCTAAAGTTCTTATATTGTAAATTGTGATCAAAAACATACCGAAAGATTGAACCATCATCTTCAACCATGTAGCCTTCACTAAATAGCTTTCAACATCCAGTGTTTCACGTATAACTGAATTCTGTCTCATGCTTCCTAATAACCTGCAGCATGATGAACCATCTTATCTCTTGTTTGTCAGTTGTCCTGCTGGTAAATTTTCGTTTCAATACTGGCTTCACAGAATATTTAAATGCTAATGAGAAAACCACTGGATATCAATTGAATATTATTACTACTAATAAATTGTAATCCATCCTCTGAAAGGAAGGGTAAATTCCTGAAAATATGTAGACATGTACAGAAACTTCATTGAGGATGTTGCATAGAGAGAACCTTATTACTCTGTTCTAAGCTTCTGTTGGTATGAGTAGGTGTACTGCTACTACTGGGAGAAAAGCTGTTCTCAATCACAGCTCCTAAGTCTTAGGAGTCCTACAGCCAACTAGCAAAACCTCAAAAATGAACACTACTGATTCACAGAATGGTCGGGGTTGGAAGGGCCCTCTGGAGATCATGCAGTTCAACCCCCCTGCCCAAGCATGTTCACCTACACCAAGTTGCACAGGATCGTGTCCAGGTGGGTTTTGAGTATCTCCAGAGAAGGAGATTTCACAGCCTCTCTGGGCAACCTGTTCCCATGCTCTGCCACCCTCAAAGTAGAGAAGTTTTTCCACATATTCAGATGGAACTTCCTGTGTTTCGGTTTGTGCCCGTTGCCCCTTAACCTGTCACGGGGCACCACTGAAAAGAGCCTGGCCCTATCCTCTTGACGCCCGCCCTTAAGGTATTTATAAGCATTGATGAGATCCCCTCTCAGTCTTCTCTTCTCCAGGCTGAACAGACCCAGCTCTCTCAGCCTTTCCTCATAAGGGAGATGCTCCAGTCCCCTCGTCATCTTTATTGCCCTCCGCTGGACTCTCTCCAGTAGTTCCTTGTCTGTCTTGAACTGGGGAGCCCAGCCACACTCTTCCTCATGCACTCCCAGATACCATTGGCCTTCTTGACCATGAGGGCACATTGCTGGCTCGTGGTTAAACTTCAATAAACGTTTGTCTTTGCATATTAGGATCATTGGTTGCTGGAAGCAAATTAATGTTGCAGTCTTTTCAACAGAACTACTGAAACAGGAAACGGTCCAAACGTTCAGCTCTTTCAGATGGTCCATGCTTATACTGTTTTATGTAAAATCTTCCGCACTAGGGGGAAATTGATATTAAAATGTACTTCCTTTTCAATTGCTGATAAGCTTTTCAGTATAGCAGTTGTGAGGGGGCCACCATGTAAAATGAGTCATCTACTCTTAAAGCAAGTTTATATCACAACGTGCTTCTGCATGACTTGACTTTATTGGCAAGAAAGGAATTGATAAAAGTGTCACGTGTCTAAATCTTTCCATTTGTCCCCCCTTTTTTTTTCTTTAATTTATTTTCTTTAATTATTCATTTTTATTACGAAGCTTTTGCCAAAGTAAGAATGGATCTCTCTTTTATTCTAGTGGAATTAAATGTAATGAGAGAATGGAGCTGAAATCACAATAAAACCAGAGAAAATTTGGGCTAATTTGCATCTTTCTGTCTGCTTTCTTTAAGACCATCACCATTCTGACTTGAGTGACATCTAAATGTTACTTCTATGCTCTATATCTCTGCCAACCCACGCCAGTCCTCATCTGTGGGCCTCTGTAAGAGTACCTGTAGCTCTTGAGGTCTATACTTCAGATCTATGCTTGTTTAGTAGCCACTATGCACCAGAAGGAATTGTTGGTTGGGCATACAGGAAGAAAAAAGATAATAAAAGGAAGAAACAAAGTGGCAGGAATTCATCTTACCATTGACTGTCAGGTTGAAATTAGAACTATCAAACTTGTCCTTGGTAGACACCTCACATCTGTACCCTCCTGCAAAAGTCATGTTTGCTTCTATGATTTCCATTTCAAACGTGTACACCTAGAACAGACACCAATGATACAATTCATAAGTTAGAAAATGAAATGGTGAAAGAGAGAGAGAGAGAAAATGCAGCATATTAAGGCATGGAGAGAAATCGACAAGGGATGAAATATGTCGCTGTGTTCTTTTAGAATTAAGAAGCTCCTAAGCATGTAATTCATTATTGTCACAAAAATTACATATACCCCCCCAATTCTGTAGGAACAGCTAAAGAGTATTAGTACGGTTTCTCCAGAGGATACAATGTTGTATTAGCAAACTGTGCTGGTGTACTGGTGTGTGCGGTCATCATATACGCTAATTGCATATACAATGGAAACGGGAATAGAGCTTGCGTTAAGCAAATACAGCCTCTACCTAGAATGTGTACAGTACATTTAAAAATTCAGCAAAAGGAGCAGCTAACGTGAGCAAGTCTGTTCTGTTCCATCCAGGAGAGGGTAGTAGTGTTTCATATACCACACAGGATGAGAAGTCATGGTACAGACCCTTGTATTCTGGTTTGTGTATCTTTGAACATACCTGTGGTAAAAATGGATCTTACTCAGCTATTTAAAGTACTCCAGACAATGCAAGAGAACAATAAATTCCAACACTAATAGCTGAATGCTTGATCTATTAAAACCAAGATAGACCACACTTAAATATGTCTGATTTATTGTTTTCTCTTAAATATAATGAGTATCTATTACTTGGGAGGAAGATGGAGGGAATACTGCAGTAAATAGTGCAAAACGGCTCCCCTGGTCCTCCAGACATTTTCTCATTTCATCATAGATAAGGTACGCAAGAGTCTGTATGTAGTGCTTGTCTCTTGTCTGCATGGTCAAAACATAAACTTCTATGTATAAGTCTAGCATTGTGTGTAGCTTTGGGTACCTTAATATCAAAACATTCCTATATTAGCTTATATTTTCCCCAGATTAAAGATTGATATCTAGAAGACTGAGAACCTTATTCTGCCAATTTTACCTTTTTATTTCGATCATAATTGTCATGTAGCTGGAGATGTTTCCCCACTTTGCTTCCCAGATCCATCCACTTTCCTTTGAACCATTTCACTGATGGTTTCTTCAGCAGGCTCTCACCTGCCACTTTGGCAGTGAACGTGATGTTTCCACCTTGTAAGGGAAGTAGGTTAAAATAAGTTTATGAACAATGTTTAATTGATCTGTTATGTCACTGCTATCATCCTGTACATGGAGAGCTAAATAGTCAAGCAACGGGTACAGTTTACAAACATCACTTGGCTCACATTTTGTACTCACCAACAGTAACTTCTCCATCCTGAGGTCGTGTCACAAAGAGCCCAATAGGGTCCAGAGGTGGTTCTGCTTGAGTCTCAGCAGATGCAACTGAAACAAACATCAGAATTACTAGTTAGAACTTTCTGCATCATTTTCTGTTACAGCCTAAATATTGAATTTGTTGAGTCATTTCAAAATATCGCAATAAGTTTCTTCTGTCTCTGAGATTCCTTATTCTTTATTTTCTATCATTAATCACTAGTGGTCTGCTTTCAGCTACTGTCTCTACCTCACTGCCTCTAAGGATTCCTTGTTCCTGTTCTTCCCTTCTGTTAATGAACCAGCTTGATACCAGTGTTAGTTCTCTGTTACCTTCTGTGTTTTGGCTGCTTTCTACTGGTGGAGCAGGCGACTCTGAGGCAGCTGGGGCTGGAGCATCTTCAGC